CCTTGCGCGGCCACCCCACCGCTGCGCTCTCTCTAGCTCCCGCCGTCACCTCTCGCCTGCTCTGCAGCCTCGCTCTCGCCCCCAAACGCCCTCAGCAACGCTCCTCCCACCTTCCTCCTCGGCCGCCGTGCGACGTCCAAACGCACCCAATCATCGCCCGTCTAGCCTCTGCCGTTTGGCCAATAGGCACTTACGTCTCCGAGCCTTGGACCAATAGTATGGAGCGTCTGGATCCCTTCAGCGCCCAACCAATCCCCTAGCGACCTTTCCTCTCCGGCTGGTCCGGGTTGATAGTGCCCGCCCCCTTACGCCTGGAGGCTGCTCCTCCTCCATTTCCAAGTCGACTCCACTGGACGGCTCAGAAGGAGGGGCAGCGTGATGACGTCAGGCGGCGGAGTGAGGCTGCGGGCGCCATCTTGGGGACAAGGCGGGTAGTCGCGTGGGGGTTGAGAGGGAAAGTCGGGAAATTGAGGCACGATTCCCCGAGGGCTAGGGCGGGGGAGTTGAGGAGCAGGAACCCCGAGGAGCGAAGGAAGAGAGTGAAGAAGCTCGAGTCAGCTCAAAGAGGAGAGGAAACCAATCACAGGGAGGGAAGAAAAGAGGAAATTAAGGCTCCAGATTCACTTTGTATGGAAGAGAGGAATAAAGGAAGAGGAGAAAAACGGAGGGACTCTGAGGGAGCGGGGAGGGGAAGTGTCAGAGGAAAAGCAAGAAGAGAGGGAATCTGAGGGAATGAGGAAAACCTGAAGAAAAAAGGAAACGCAGAGAGAGGCAGTTGATGTGAAGAAACGGAGGGTGTGAGTGGGGAGGGAGGTAGATGACCTACGGGTCCCCGAGTTTGCGAGTGAGTTGCCCCAACCAGAGCTGTTACAAATGTTTCTAGAGCGACTCCCTGAACCCAAGGACAGGGCAGCTGCAAGAGACTGGCTTGGATCACACCCCGCGCCCCCATTTCTCCCATTTCTCTGATGAGTAACGAGTCTCAGAGGAATTGGTCCTTTACCTTCCTGAGGCTAAAAAGCTACCAGGGGCCTTCACACACAGTCAAACCTGGGAGTGACGGTCCCGTTATAACTTTGCTATGTCTTGCAATTGGTTTCTACCCAGGCGTCCTAATTGCCCACTAATCAGCGGTTCTCAACCTGTGGGTCGCGACCCCTTTGGCGGTCCAACGACCCTTTCACAGGGGTCGCCTAAGACCATCCTGTATATCAGATATTTACATTACGATTCATAACAGTAGCAACATTACAGTGATGAAGTAGCAACGGAAATAATTTTATGGTTGGGTCACATGAGGAACTGTATTTAAAGGGCCAGAGGCTGAGAACCACTGCTAGATTAAACTCCCTAACCAGGCCCATGTCATTAAAACAGGCTGGCTGGGTTGGATTGGACTGGAGTGGAATCTTGGCCCTGCCACTTCCTAGCTGTTGCTTTGGGCAAGTCATCTCCCTTGGACCTCAGTTTTCCTGTCTGTGAAATGGGGATAATGGCCCCTGTCCCATATGA